CTTCAGGCGAGTGGGGGAGGAAAGGGGGGAAGGGGGGGCCGGGGGAAGGGGGAGAGAGGGGGGGGGAAAGGGGAGGGGGGAGGGGGGGTGTATGGAGAGGGACTTAGTGACGCAGTGTGTTTTAAATTGCGGGAAAGGCACGGTCGGGGCTTCTTGCAATGGTTCCAACGGCTTTGCCGTTGTTAACCGAGGACACGCAACGACAATGGTCAACGGATAACAGACAACTGCTGTAACGTTGATTGTGTGTCAATATGTGTGTCGGTGCGATCTGTGTCGGTGTGTTGTGTTGTGTTGTGTTGTGTTGTGTTGTGTTGTGTTGTGTTGTGTTGTGTTGTGTTGTGTTGTGTTGTGTTGTGTTGTGTTGTGTTGTGTTGTGTTGTGTTGTGTTGTGTTGTGTTGTGTTGTGTTGTGTTGTGTTGTGTTGTGTTGTGTTGTGTTGTGTTGTGTTGTGTTGTGTTGTGTTGTGTTGTGTTGTGTTGTGTTGTGTTGTGTTGTGTTGTGTTGTGTTGTGTTGTGTTGTGTTGTGTTGTGTTGTGTTGTGTTGTGTTGTGTTGTGTTGTGTTGTGTTGTGTTGTGTTGTGTTGTGTTGTGTTGTGTTGTGTTGTGGGTCCTGGATTTGCTACGCTGCGCTGGGCTGGGCGTGAAGGGAAAGCCCCTTTGAAGCGGGGACTTGGGACATACACGCTCTAGTTGGCTCCCTCCCTCCCTCGCGTTGGCGTTGGCGTTGGCGTTGGCGTCGGTAGGCTAGCCGGAATAGAATAGACGGGTCGGTCGGGTCGGTCGCGCGTTTTAGTTTTTTTTGGGGGGTTGGGAGGAGCACTTGCATACCGACAGCCTTTCAGTATCAGCAAATCAGCCTTTTCTCCAGGCCAGCAACTTTAGGCCACCTTTACGACAGCACTATTTTACTCGCCGCCTTCACTACTACTTTTCTACACCTACTTCTTTACGGATTGGCTATACTATTCAGCTTTTTAATTCTGGCGGCTTAGGTAGGTAGGATTTCCGACATCAACGTCACTTCGTCATCCCGAGGTCACAGTCGTCACAGTCGCCACGGACGCCTTTCGGTCAGTTTTTACGTTTGCTACTTTCTTGCCCTGGCAGCAGCTTCAATCGTGTGTGGTTCGTCTTTCCCTCCCTCCCTTCCTTCCTTCCCCCCGGCCCCCCCGGGCCCCTTGGACCTCGCTGAGCAGTGGTGTGGTGAGGGGGACGTCGGTCTTGGGAGAGAAGGGAGGGGGGATTATTTTCCCGACCTGCAGATATCTCCGTTCGTTTGACTTCATTCGATCATTATTTAGCTAACCGTTTATTTGTTCATTTTGCTTTGTTGTTCATTCACTTCTTTCTTCATCCCCGGATTCCCTTGTCTGGGACTCCGCCGTACGGTACCGTACCGTACCGTACCGTACCCGGCTCCTCCTCAACTCCCTGTCGCAGGTCCTTCCGGCTCCTCCCGGTGCTCCGTGCCGACCTCGCGCGCTATCTGGTGGTCTTCGCATTCGGTGGCGTGTACGCGGACACGGACACGATGTGCCTGCGCCCTGTGGATGGCTGGACGGATGACCTCGTACGGGCGGGGGGGGGAGGGGGAGGGGGAGGGGGGCCGGGGGGAGCCGGAGGGGCCGGGGGAGGGGGCGAGAGAAGGGTGTAAACAACATGCAACGGCTTTGGGGAAAGGGGTTTAAGGGGGCCTCACCTGTGTAAAGTATCTGACCGGGCCTGACACTGGCCAGGGGCCGCAGCCCAGCACCAACGGAAAGATCGCCTAAGCTCTCTCCCGCGGACGGGAGAAAGGCGTAGATGTGTGTGTATATGGGCGTGGGCGTGGGTGTGTGGGTGTATGGGTGTATGGTGTTTCGAGGCGGTGAAGCTAGGAGGTTGTAGGAGCTAGGGGACCCCGGGTTCAGGCTAAGGCACCACCGAGCGGGAAAAGCGCAGTGTCCCGCATCAAGAGTGCCCAATGAGTGGCGGGGCGGGGGCGGGCCGGGCGGGGGGGGGAAGGGGGGGCGGGGCGGAGGCGGGGCGGGGAAGACGGGGCGGGGCGGAGACTGGGGGCTCCGGCCGGGCACGACGTGTTGGATGCAAGAAACTGCCCATGTACCAGCAGGAGCATGAAGAATCGCAACCTTGACCCCATGAGTGGATTTTCCGACACTTCTTAGAGGGTACCAGTTTCATCTTAAGCGCCTTAGTGCGGTGGGGACTGTATTTTTTTTTGTGTGTGTCCGTCTGTGTCTGTGTGTGTGTGTGCATTGTTATATGTCAATATCGATGTGTGTATGTGGAAGGGAGGGAGCAGAAATTGGTTTTGGTTTTCTTCCGGATGACGTGGCATCTTTCTGGGATCTTTCCCCCGGGGCTATTCCCTGGAGCCCTCCCCCCTTCGTCGTACATACCCACACGGTTACTAGTGTGGGGGGCCCCCTGGGGGGAATCAGTGCCCTTTTTCCCTTACCTATGCCTACACCACTGCCCCGCCGCCTCCGTTTGCCCCCTTCCCTCGGCTCTGTCAATGCCGTACTGCCGTACCTCGTCTTTGTGCGGTGTGTCGTACCAGTCACCCGCGAACGTAAGCGCCATTGTGGGGGTGGAGGCGGACGCGGCGGACATACCCCACTGGGAGAGGTACTGGGGTCGGCAGCTGCAGTTCTGTCAGTGGACCTTCGCCGCGGAGCCCGCGCACCCCTTGCTGGCGGCGGTGGTGTTCAGGTGCGGGCAGCCACGGACTGCCTGGAGGCGGATGTGCTGGGTGGTGGTGGTGGTGGTGGTGGTGGTGGTGGTAGTGGTGGTGGTGGTGGAGGGGGGCCCGCTTGCAGCTGCGTCTTCCACTCGAGGCAGCAGATTTTACTAATGTTATATTCAGACAAGCCCGTAGTCATCCATTTCGTTACGTGGCCTTCGACAGGATCGCAGTAGCAGTAGTAGTAGTAGTGGTAGTAGTGGTAATGATAAGCGCCATGTCAGCAGCAGCGAAGCCGTTATTAAGAAAGCAGTATCGGTAGTAACAAGAGCAGGGAGAAGTAGCTGACAGAGATGACAACATGCGGCGGTGCATGGAGGTGGAGGTGGAGGTGGAGGTGGAGGTGGGGCCCCCTGAGTGTTGCCAAGAGGACGATGAGAACTGTGAGGTGGCCGCCAAGGGAGGTGGAAATCAGCTTCAGCATGTGAGGTATCTCCTGCATTTGGACGCTAGTCTGGGCTGATGTGCGGTGTTTCCTGTTCTCCTGTTCTCCTGTTCTCCGTGGCTTTTAGGCGTAAAGATATTTTGCCCTTGGGCCTTCGGCTCGTATGGGTAGCTCTACAGGTATGGGGTCACGCACCCCCAACCATGTCAGACACACACACACATATATATATATATAATGCGGACGTGCTGTGGTAGCTGCCGTACGGCTGTACGGCTTTTTCGCATTGCTGATGCTGATGCTCGCGCGCGCGCATTGCTGCCACTGTCATCGCAACCGGCGCTAAGATCATCAACACCATCATTATCGTCAGTTATGACATTACTGCTGATGCTACTGGTTATGGTGTTTGTGGTGTTTGTGGTGATGTCTCAGGATCTCTCAGCTGTTGGAGCAACGCCCCGCGGAGCAGCTTAATGTGGATGACGTCATCCATGTGACGGGCCCATCGGTCATGTCGGACGCGGTGTACGAGTACCTGAAGTCCAAGGCAAGAGGAAGGGGAGGGGGCCATGAGGGTGCGTGAGGTGGGGGAGGAGTCGGGTTGCGGCGTCTGATATCGCCGCGTCCTCGCTATTGCCGTTTCTTTGCCTCGCTGCGTGGCCACCATGCCCGCCTGGTCGTCCTGGTTTGGTGTGTCATTAAGGGGAAATAGGGCTCACGGGGAGGGGGGGAAGATGCGATAATGTCCACCTCTGGCCGCCCTCGGCTCGGACCGCCCTCAGGGCCCCTCGAGGTGTGGCGTACGGGCCGCCTCCGCTATACCCTCGGACTGTAACGCAACCCCAGAAAATGTAACACACATACACACACATTATCTATTTTCTGGGGGGCGGTGCGCATGAGCCGGTCGAGCTCCATTGTCACATCTACAACACTTACTGGTGCCCTGCCCCGAACCTGCCTCGCACCACCACCCACGCAACACTGCACTTGCGTCCCCCGTTTCCATTATCCGGGGCCCCCCATATTCCTAAACCCCGCCATGGCCCCAAACCCCCCTTCAACCCCCCCGGGTACATCCGCCAACCACAGGGCCGTGACTGGCACGAGTTCCAGGGACTGACCCATGGGACACTGGTGGACGATCTACTGGTGCTGCCCATCACCGCCTTCAGCCCGGGGGTAGGCCACATGGGCGCTGGACCCGTGGGTCACCCCGAGGCGCGAGTGCAGCACTTGTTCGGGGGCAGCTGGCGCAAGCAGGGCGTCCCCAGCGTTGACGGCGCCAGCAGGCGAAGAGACGGCCCCCGCGGGTCCTCATAAGAGGGGCACCGAGCATCTCGCTCCAGGAAGGGGGGAGCGTGACAACCTGTTATGGGGTCTGGGGCAACAGTGAGTCTGAGTCACACACGGTGGGAGAGGAGAGGAGAGGAGAGGGACGGTGGAAGGCAGGGAAGGCGGAAAACGTGGAAAAGGAAATATGGTAATGCGGTACTGTTGTGTGCGGGAGCGCTACGTAGGGGCTTTCGTAGGGCTGCCTAGAAGTATCATCACGGCTAGGCTGAGTGTGCGATGAGAGGGCGAAATGGCGGGGTTGCGGGCGAGCGGAGCGCCTGGGGACGTCGAGAATTGCGCCCCTGGGGTCTGGTTTTCCGTGCGCTGTAGCAGCAGGGCGGGCTTCGTATAACCTCCTCTGTTGTGTTTTTCGCCGCTACAGCCGTTGGCAGTTGCTTGTCACTGTGGTTGCTACGCATGATACCGGGATCTGGGGAACTCTGGGGCTGAGGAACCCGACTTTGACCATCTCTTTACCATTCTCCGCCGGGCGGCTCTGGGTGGAAGAGTGAGATTCACAAATGCGGGGAGATCTGCTTAAATAAAGGTTTAGGATATATTCCCAGGAGCCTCACAGTAAAGGGTTTTTTGGGGGACTGCGCTCTGCATTGTCACGATTTTGCTTGTTGACAAGACGCGACAACAACGGAAAGGTACGAAAATATGTCGTCGTGTACAATAAGAGTCTTCTGGGCTTTGGAGACTGACTTAAAAGGTCGGCAAATGGTGTGCACCTGGTGCTTTTTGCGGTGTATGTGGGGGTGGGGGGGTGGAGGCGTTGTCCTGCAAACAGTGCAACGGAGCCATGCCGAGGGGCCCAAGGGCCAGCCGCCTTTCGTAAAATAGTCATTTGAGGTGTATCCAGGGAAAAATTAGTTCCGGCTTTGGATTGTTAAAACAAAAGCCACCAGTACAGAGAGAAATCGTCATATCGTACGATGCCTCAACAAATATCTCCGCATGTTTTTTTATTGCTTTCATTTAAATGTCTGTATCGCAACGTCCTTTCGCAAAAAAGATTTGTCAACGTCGGCCAACCAAAACACGACCCGCACGGCCATCCAAAGTAAACTCAGGAGCCCGCCATGCGCTTCTTCACGCACAACTGAATGCTCTGTACTCTTCACACGGAACGGCCTGGCACATACATCGCGTCCGGGCGCGCTTCTTACCCGCACGCGCTCAGACATGCACGCCTATGCGTCTCCCATTTAATCGACAGAAGTGTCCGTCGCCTCGCAAACTACATGCCCCGAAATCTCCTGGGGCTATCGATGTCAACAAGACCGCTATTTTCTGGGACAATGCCGACGTCGTAACCCAATCTTCTTGTAGTACGACATCATATCGTATCGGATCCAGACACACAGTCAATGTGCCATAAGTTTTGACCTTCGTCTTTTTTCCAAGTGCACAAAAAGTGGGATTACGAGGGCCCGCGCCATCTCCACGCCATACAATATACACAGTATTGCCGTACTCGAGGTGCGCCCCCCTTCGTCTGCAGGGGTGGCTGCAGCCCCAACTGTCTTCGGAAGACGACACGGAACATTTGCATGTTGTACGTTAGCCTATCGGCGCATTTCCCCACAGAACGAAGACCGGTCCGTCCTACCACCCGCCTTCGTTTGTCATGCACGCATCCTCCTCCTCCTCCTCCTCCTCCACTGAACCCCAACAACAATCAACACCAGGACGAAAACAAAGCGACCAGGACCGCATCCCTTCGTAATCCGAGCCCCGCACGGCGGCCCCAACAAGCAGCACCCTGTCTTGGTCTACATGCGCGCACACGGAAAGCACGTGCCACAAGCAAGCACGTGGGATTCTCGTCAACACATCCGACGACACGATGGCGCCGAACATCTATTGTTTGACGCCCGCGCGGCGGGAAAGGGTACAGTAAACCGGAAAAGCGACCACTACCGGCGGGTTTTGTACCTTCTCCGCCAAGAAAGGAATTGTATGCAGCCAAACAATCTATTCGCGCGCCCATTTCGCCACGTCCAGCCATTCAGCTTCCCCCATATACACACCAGCTGGATGCAGAGGAGGTGCGAAATGCGCGGCGTGGTGCATTCGTGACCGTGTTGAAAACAGTACAAATAGCCTCTTGGGTAGCCAGTACAATCCCATAAATGGAGCCAAATCAACGGGAGCGCGCAGCAGCCACCCCTGGGTTATCGTAGGTGCCAAATGTACGAAAACCTCAGCCGCTCTACTAAACCTTCTCTTCCAGCTTTTATTTCCAGCGAAATGTGCGAAGTGGAAAAGAAACAAAATTCCGCAAAACAAAGTACAAAGCCACCTTTTGTGGGACTCTTGGGAACGCTGCTGCGCATAGAATCTGCCAGCGGCCACCTCGCCGCTGCCACTTCACATTCCAGATATCAGCGACTGCCCTCGCCCGCTTAACAAACCAGCCGCTTTTGAGGATAAGCAGGCTCAGCCCATAGAGCATTCTCCTCATTTAAGATGCATGAAAAGCTGCTGCAGCGCCAAGTGCCGCGTAGTGCCGACGCTGCCAGTGAACGTCGTTGTAGCAGCTACCCTATGGCGCGCACACATGACCCCGCAGTGACGATGACGGCAGCCCTCACGGCAAAAAGCAGCCGCGGATGCGGCAACGGCCTAGCACCAGTAGCCGCTGCTCTCCCAGCGGCGGTGTGGTGGTACCGACGTATCCGTGGTTCTCTCGGAAGAGTCAACATCGCCATGATAGGGTGCGGTAGCACACCAACACACCATGCAATCAAGTACAGAGTATGTAACCTGCTCCGATGCAGCGCAGGAAACGAGGTACGCAAGAAGCGGAGCCAAACGGATTTGCTTCATCTCCCCTTGCCTCACCCCCGCCAATGCTGTATTTGCTTTGTGCGCCAAGTCCATCAACTCAGAAGTCCTCCGGACCTTAAACTCCCTCCCTTCACTCGCACCTCCCGTTTGACAACAACAACCCATCGCTAGGCACGACCACACGATGCAGCATAGCTTCGCCCCGCATGGACTCCTCCCTTCCTCAGGCCCCTTACTGAAGAGCAATTTACCGGCCGGCTAGTTCGAAAAAAATGGCAAGAAATGAATTTAGCGCCGAGAGAAGCAAGGTGGGGTATCTTTTTATGGAAAATGATTGTGGTCGATGAACAAGCAACATCTCGAGAGGATTTTGCTTTATATGGACGGACAGACGCGAGAGCAGCAGACAGGGAAGACAGAGCGCGCTTTGTCGTTCGCAAACGTACACCCCACTCTTTAAGACACAGTAACACATACACACATAAGTGTCCACAGCCATGCACACTAGAACAGGACAGATAAACTTAAGAGGAACACAGAAGTCAGACAGAAGACGCACAAGCGCACGGTACGCAGTATCGGTGGTGGTGCTGCTGCTGCTCCTCAAAGACCCACACGCACACGAATGGATGAGACGTACCATGCCCCACGACCAAAAGCGTACACACACACACCAGTCTAAAGTGGCACTGAATTCACGCGGATGAGCACGCACGGACGCGCACACAGACACACTAATGTACACACGCACGCGTAGAACACAGAATGCGAAAAAGCCATCTTGCCCCGACAGCACAGGCGACATCAGAAAACAGGAGAAAAGCCCGCTAAAGACAGGCGTTTTGCCGGCCCCGCATACCAAGGGCACATTAACCGGTTCTTCCGAAACCAGCCCTCACCGCATGCCCACGTTCATAATCCTCAGACCCACCGCGGATAAGTCGCACCAAAGCCATTACGAAAAGCAAAAAGAGCAACAATAACAACAATAGTAGCAACTGCAGTTTACGACAAGCCTCCCAATTCTCCACGCCCCCGTAGCCCGCCCCCGGTTCTCCTCCTCCAACATTAATTCACAATAACAGGATCTCCAACAAGTGTCCCAGGAATCCAGCGTGGCGCACAAGGCCCCATCTCCGATACTGAGGGCTCTGACTCGAGCCTGTTAAAAAGGGTACATGAAGCAGCAACGATGTTAGGTTAAGGTGCTCGTCCACGCCACCTGCGTGAGACCAGGCGGACAGTGCACTTGACTGCGGCGGTGCTCGAGGCACAGGACACACTCGTAAAGCCCGGACCCGGTCCCCCGAATCCCCTCCTCCGTTTTGTTTCCACATGCGTAAAAGTTCCAAAGCAGCAGACCGCGACAACAAGCTGTTGATCCAAAAGCTAAAGGCACCGGCGGCTCTCAAAAAAGCGCCCGGCGGTCGGATAACCTTCCCCTACCCAACCCCAATCATCCGCACCGCGCCCAACGATAAACACCCCAGACTCCCTCATCATTCCTTCCCACTATCAACACGGCCTTCCCGAAACGCCTTCAAAGAAAATTGCCTATGATATCATCAGTGCTTGGCAGTATCGTTACGTAGGGCACCCTAAGGTTCATCAATCCCCGCAACTTTTTCAATGGGAGAGCCGGGGGCGCTGGCGCTTTCCCCCCTAGGAAATGCTGCCATCTTGACACGGCGCAAGTCATGCATGGCCTCCTAAATGAGGCCCTCAACCGGGTCCGATACTCCCTCTCCGGCCAACGACATCATCACCACCATGTACACGAGCACACACGCGCATGTACATACGCATACACAAGCCATTCCTTTACCTCCACCCTAAGAATCCATCTGTCAGTCCTCGCGGACATAGACGTTTAAGCACAAGTACGAAAAGTCATTTCTGACCCTTTCGAATCAAATGAAATTCGGAATTCGTCAGCCACTCCCAGCCCAAGCCAGAGCCACCTTTTACTTGGCCACCACCACCAAAGTCTACAACAGCCCAGTCAATGGCGGGCACGCAAACCCTGATTTAGACTCTCTACTTGTACCGACATCAAGCTCTATAAGCCCAGGCTGGCCCGGATGTTGTCCAGCTTCTCAAGAATCTCTTTAAAGCTGGGACGCTGAGTGGGTTCCGTCCGGGTGCAGCTGCATGGGTAAAGGGGAAGAAAGGGTTGCGAAACCTTAATCCCTTGATTGTGCATTGTGGGAAACGACCCGCGTGTGCGGCTGCGTATAATTGTGCCGTTGACAACTGAGCCACGGGTCGCACCAAGAATAGGTCCCTAGGTACAAACATATGCAGTCCGGCGCTCCACTGCCTCGCCTGCCTGCGGCTTCTCTCCAGTGCGTCGAATTGCGACCCCCATACCGACCGGCAAGGACTGCTGGATAGGAATAGCAAAAAGACCACAACAGCCGCAGCCGCAACCACAGCAGAGCAATCGAGCGCGCTATTAATTCTTTACAGGACGACTCATACCCCTACCTGCTGGACAGGTCCGCGATGGCAGGCGGCGTTCCCGGTGGAAACAGCAGCTGCACGTTCTTCATGCCCACGTTGTAAATGATTTGGCCGTGGTTCATGCCGGCCCAGGGGCGCAGCCCCGTGTACATCTGCCACAGCAGGACGCCGAACGCAAACACGTCTGTCGCCTGCAAGCAACAGCCGCAGCAGTGGTGGACAAGGCGAGGAAAGCGGCAGCAACGAAGGTGAGCGGTATAGCAACGGTAAGAAGGCGCGTTTGATGTACACTAAGTAGGAGACTGGAAAGAAAAAGGTATCACATGGATAGCAAGTAGGTGATGCAAGTGAACGACGAACCGTGACAGGACTCTGGAGCGGGCCGTCGTATGCGGCGGGTAGACGTAAACGTAACCGATTGGAGGGGGGCGGCGCACGGATGGGTGACAGTATATGCACATCTTAAACATGCCAATTTGCGACGTGCAACAGCGCTGGGACGTTAGTACATGCCGGGACAGAGAGGCAGGTGCAGCGGTTCCCTCCTCCTGCGCACGGCCCCTTCTCTCCGCCGCAGCACCTCTCCCCCGGCACTTGCCTTGCTTATGATGCCTGAGATGAGGCACTCGGGCGGCATGTGGCTGATCTGCACGTATTGAATTGCAACGGGTACAGAGAAGGCTCCAGGTGAAACAGGCGGGGCAAGGGCAGTCGCTAAAGGGCAGCTTCGAACAGCCGCGTCCGTTCACCCACACGGACACGCAAGCCATCAGGAAAGTCATCAAGACGCTCGCACAGCTCTTCCTCTTCCTTCTCTTCAAGACAAAAAGTAACGAGTAGGTCCGTGCTTTCTTTCCTCCATAGCTGAGTGCCCCGCTGGGGCCCAGCACGAACAAACACCCTGCTCGATGTGCGTTAACTTCAAACCCCAACTCCACGTACACCTTCACGTTCCAATCCCATTCCGTCTCACCGTGCCGTAAGTCCGTGTCTTGATCTTGGACCTCACGTCCAAGGTGCGGCTCAAACCAAAGTCGGCGACCTGACCGGGTTGTATGAGCCCGCGAGGGCGTGGAGGTGTGGGGACCGGGCAGAAGCGGCCAGGAGGGGTTAGGTGCCGCTCTAATGCCAGGCAAGCAGCAGGGTTCCCGCGTGCCGCATGCCGACATGCAGAGCCTCTTGATGTGAAAACAAAGCCACATTAGCGGTCGTTAGGAGCAGGCCCAGATGAAGGCGACATCAACGATACCGGGATGCACTAGCAACTCTTTTGTGACATACTCTTGACGAGATTCATATGTGTTACACCTTGAGCTACGTTACTCTCCAAAAAGGTGTAACGGGCACATATGAGCCGGGGCCCCAAGGGCCAGCCAAAGGCTGTCCGAAATAGACAGACATCGTAAACATGCATAAAACAAAACAATTATAATATCGCTCAACTAACCAAAGTATTCAGACTGGTATGCCGTAGCAGTGCACCTGCTATTTGAGACCCCTGCCGTTGCCACTTCAGGCACCTCACCATCATATGATCTATCACCCTTTCACCCCCCCCCCCGGGGATCCACCCCACCCACAGTACTCAAACCCACCTTGGCTACGAAAGTGCGGCCGCTGCGGTCTTGCTGACCGCCTTCCGACGTACACAGCATGACATTCCAGGCTGTAAGATCGCCGTGCACGATGCCCTGTGAGGGGAACACAGACAGGCGATGAAGAGAGCCGTGTAAGCTAGGGCTGTTTGGGTTGTGCTCGCGGCGGCGGTCATGGATAACGTGCGCCGAGGTGTAAGGCGTCTGAAAGCCAGGCATGGGGGAAAGAGGCCAATTAAGCCAAGGCATGAATGGGAGATACACAACGTGCCTGCTCACAGAAGCATAAGCTCCCGTAAGGCTGGCAACCAACGGACATGTGACACGACAGCTGGCCGAGCCGCAGCAACCGACCCACAAACCCTTGACATACGCGGTACCCACCCCAATCCCTCAAGCTAGCCCCGCCCCGCCCCGGCCCTCCTTGTCCGTACCCTCTCGTGCAGATACTGCAGCGCCGACGCCACCTCGCAGGCTGTAGCCACCATCATGGGTAAGTGTGTCTCACCCATCTCGCCACCAGGCTTGCGTAGCTTCAAGGCTCCTCGGTCCAGGGCGTCCTAAAAGGCGGAACAGGAGCACAGGGAAGGAGGTTTCGCAAAATGGAGGTTCTCACGGACCCAGACGAAACATCGTGCCACCGGTGGAGCATGGTGCATGGTGCATGGCGCTGAGCGGACGCACAATAATACCTCGCCTTCTCCCTGCACCCTCTCCCTGCAATCTCACTGCCCGCATCAAGTCCGCTACTTTCCCACCTGCAGGCTGCCCCTGTCGCAAAACTCCATGATGATCCACACCTCGCCCATGTCCTCGCCGCTCCCCACACTGCCGGTGTGACCCATCTGCTGTGTGTGGCCGCCGCTGCTAGTAGAGGGTGACCGGCTCCTGCGAGGCAGCGGCCGGAGTGAGGCAGGTATGCTCGCCGCGGAAGGGTGAGCCAGTAATCATATCTTATGCGGACGCTGCAGATCGTGCTCTAGATCGTCCAGACGCGGCCTAGATGTGAACCCCAGGACAAACAACCCATAAATCCAGAACCTCAACGCGGCGCCCAAGCAGCCCGCAGTAGACATAGTCAGGTCAGTCCTATTCAGCCCCGGCCCGGCAAAGAACAGTCTCCGGAACTCTACTTGACCATTCGCTGGTCCAGCCTCAAGCATTCAACCAACATTCATGGTCGTCGCACTGGATAGCGTTTATCACTTTGTTCTGAGCTTTGCCCGCCTGACCTTAATCTTCACCTGTGTCTTCTTTGCGGCTAACATGGTTTGACCACGCAGAACTTCTTGGTTCCTTGACATTTAGCATCGGCTCATGTGTCTCAATAGACGCAACTCACCCCTTGCCCGGCACCAGCACATCGCCTCCCGAGGTGATGGTGGAAAACGCCAGTGAGAAGCGCGACGTCATAGCGGCCTGCTGCTGCTCAAGGGTCAGGTGCTGCAGGTTGGGCGGCGGCGCGCCGGGTGGATAGGGCGCCGTGATGGATGGCGCCCCGTCGCCTGCCGGCGCAGCAAGCGGCGGCATTTGCGCCGGCAGCGATACGTCCATTGCCACCGGCTTTTTGTCGGGGGCATTTGCCAGCGATAAAGGGCCTGAGCCGCGAAGTCTGGAGGCCAAGGCTGCTTCATGGCCAGCGTGACCGCCGGATGCCAGGAGCACGCTGGCATGCTCAGGCGTTGGGCCAGTGACCGAGACGGTGCGGGAGGAGGCCGCAGGAGAGGCGATGCCCGTCTGGTTAGCGGCGATGCCACCCGCGCTCGCAATCGACGGCGGTCCAGCGGCAGTGGAGGCAGAGGATGCATGTAGGGATGCCGGGCCGACAGCGGTGGCACCACTGGTAGTGGTGGCACTGGTGGCGGCAGTGCCAGGTGCAGCGCTGCCTCCCGGTACCTTCGGCACTCCAGCTGCAGCTAGATTAAATTCGCGCAGCGGTACTCCGCTGCTGCCATCAACAACGCCGCTGCCATACCGCGGCTTCCCAGAGTACTGACTGCCACCGCCGGCAACGGTGGTCGCGTCGCTGGTCATTGTCGTACCCATGCGGCTGAAGTGTTGCATGGCAGACGCCGACGTCAGGTCCGCCGCAGCCGCCATCTGCGCGCTTGTCATGCCGGACAGGCCCGGCTGCGCCGACGTCATGTACGACATCATGCCCGTCATCTGATGCGGCGCCGCGCCACCGTTGGCGCCGCCGTTACCGTTAACGCCGGCGCCGCTGCTGCCCGCCGCCGGCAACATAACGTTGCGACTGCCGTGGCAGCTGGCAGCGATGCCGCCGCTGTATGGTCCGTGCCCCTCGCGGTTGCGCGAGTGCAGGCCGGGCGGCATGTTGCGTGCTGAGTTTACGCCGCCGCGTGAATTGGAACCGGACACGGAGGAGGCATTGATGTTGCTGCGCATTACGTATTTAATGGTCTTGACGATATTGGGGTGCGACAGCTCCTGGCCCATCAGCGCCTCCAGAGACACACCCTCCGTGTTGGTTTTGGTCAGCCTACAGGCACGGGGTGCACGACAGCCACCAAATCATTATGGGTGAAAAGGTAATGGCGAAGCCGCCGCGAGACGGGCCCGGCACATTATGACGTGCCTATTGCTTACAGGTATGAATTGGATACCGAGAGCAGCTTGGGGACGCGCCAAAGAAAGGCAGACTATGAGTATGATGGTTGTTAAACGAACTCGCGCAGGTACGAGTACGTCCGCGAATTCAGCAACTCTCCCTTTGCTTGCCTCATCTCGGCCTCTAACATCCTTGCGTGAATGGCTTATGCAAAACGCACACCCTGTCGTCGCACGGTCGCGCTATCGTTTGGTTACAACATGTGACACCATCCCACACGGGCGCACTTGTTATCAATCATCTTGACCGCCACCGGCATGCCGTTCCAGGTGCCGTAGTAGACGGAGCCAAATCCACCCTTCCCCAGCAAGTGGCTCAGCTCCAGACCCGGAACCTTCTCCACGTGCTTGGCCAGGGCCTCATACACCGTCGAGCCCCCACCGGCCTGGGGCGTGCGAGGTGAGAGGGAAAGGGATTCAAAGTTAGGTAAAGAGTAAATGAAAATTCCACAATAGGGTTCTTGGAAAGGAACATCAAGCGCACTGGACCGGGGTACAGAGCGGGGATTAGGCCCAATCGATGACTGGTGGTGCTCTCCTCTTCCTCCTCCCTTGCTCCCTCTGGTCGCCTCCTCTTTCTTTTTTTTCGTCTCTCCTCTACGGAAAAGCCAAAAGGCTATGCTCCGGGGCGGGGCACCATATCAGCTGCCTTGTTCAGCTGCAGTTGCAGAGGTGCCCCGCACATGGGGCACGGTGGGATCCTTACCCGCACCTGCGGGTTGACCTCCTCCACAAACACAAAGTAGTTGTGCGCTTCGTTGCCACGCGCCTTGACCCAGCCTGGCAGGCCCTTGGGCAGCAGTCCCTCTAACTCCCCAGAGGCCTGCTGGGTAGCCAGCCTGTGTAATGGTTTGGGATTTGACAATTGGATAGGCGAGTGGGTGGGTTTTGGCGGTTGGACAGCTGCGTTGGCGGATTGGCGAATGTGTGAAGAACATCGTCAAACAGGGCGCTAGTTCCTTCTATATGAGCTTGCAAGGTCTTGCATGGGATAGACGTACATACATGTGGTGCTTTCCACAAACGCACACAAACCGAACTCTTTTCATCTGCGGGTCGGTCGCTCGCTTTGCTTGCCGTGCTGTGTGTCGCCAGACGAAGAGCCTCTCCCAAACCTTTGGGGCCGTCCTTCCCTACGCTGACCGCCTCATTCACCTTGAGCCCTACCACATCTGTCACGTTCGTTATTCTCATAAAGCTGTACATTCCCTCCATCTCTTGTGCCCCTCCATGCCTTTTCGTTACCGGCGTTTACCAACACGCGCAAGCCCGCTCCCCCTCCCTCCCACGCAGGCACCCAGGGTCCGCAACACCCGCACACGGCACCTCACCTGAGGTGCAGTGATACCAGCTTGTCAGGCTTTTGCCGCACCGCCACTCGATGCACCGTGAACTCCGCCCGTGAGGCCACCTCGTCCGCAGTGGACGACCAGTCCAGAGCCGCACCGCCCAACGCCATAAAAAAGTCATGGAGCGGACGACCCATCACGTGCACGCGCGGGACGCCTGTGCATGGTGCACAAAAAAGAGCGGGAAAGACGGAGGACGGAAGCGGAGAGGCGGAGGGCAATGGGGAAGGCAAGCAGGAAGGACCGAGGAGTTGAGTCGAGTGACGAGGGTCGCGCCACGCGGGAAAGACGGGATCGCTCAATGTGAGGGTGGACCCTTGCTTAAGAAAGGGGTGTGAGATGTAGGGAGGAAGGGGAGAATAGAAAGTGGGAGGGGAAAACACGCGTAAGGGGAGCTGCTAAGAGTAAGGAATGGTGGCTAAGGGAAGGTGGCACGGGAAGGGAGCTTGCGATCCTCCGCCCCGGTCGTCCTCCTCCCCTCCTGCTCATGCAGTTTGAAGCCACGAGCAGCTCCGTTTCCGTTGCGTCGTCCAAGTCCTTGTCCTCCGCGTTGCCAACCTTAGTGAAGGCCCTGGACCAAGGTCCTGCAGCGCGCCTTAAGCACACATTCGCCAGCCCTTGCAAGTCCCCTCGGCAACCACATGTAACACACACACACACACGAGCTTCCGGTTATTAGAAACAGTATGCGCGCAGGCTGTGCTGTCCGTTACTGGGCCAGGCGTACATGCGCACACAAGACTTCAGCCAGGGCGGACTTTTCTCCTCCCACTTACGGCTGGGGTCCCAGGTACCGTCCGGCACTCTGCCGAGTACGTGCTCCCGAGGCACCCCTGGGGAGACCAAGTGGCCGCGACGGTGAGATTGGGGTGGGGTGGCAGAGCAGAGCACGCAGGCAAAAGGAAGCTGGGGGCGTGTAGGGTGGACGTGGGAAGGCACGCGAGGCCCCCAGCGACACTGGGACCCCGGCCTTCATTCCCTTTTTCTCTCCACTCTTAAGTTCTCCACTCTCAACCCCTCCACTCTCTCTCTCTCTCTCTCTGACGACCTCGAAGCTGCATCTTCATCACGCGACGTGACGCTATGCTGAGGTAGAGAAGAAGCCGAGAGGGCGGGAAAGGTGTAGGAAATATATCCGAGGGCCAGAGCCCGGTGCTCGAGCGACTGAGCCGCGAAGAGACTGAGGTAGCAGGTGGAAGGAAGTGGGGAAACATGCCAACCAGTGCGCACACCAGCCAGGACCTGACAGTCCGACCCCGACGAAGGCAAACGCCAGCCAAGCGAAGCACCGTTAGGGCCAGGCCGTGGGGCCCCGTCCAGAGAGTCCCGGTAACCGTGAGGCAAATGTTCTCAGGGAAGAAGGGAACTGGGATGCGTTGCGAACCAAATAATAGGAAATGACACGTGTTGGAAAATCCCCTGAGCCAGAGGACACTGGTAGAGCATATAGAAACCTCGTGGGCGACAAGGGGCGCGCCACGTGCGGGCACCGAGGTCCAGGAACTTTGACTCTGCGCCGCGCACCCTGCCTTTTAGCATCATCGTCCAAGATGAAACCTGATGGTTTCACTCACAGCGCCGTCCTTGCGTTCCTCCACAATCCGCACGCCCACGGCAAAGCCGCGGCCCATCCACACCCTCAACCCCCACTCCCATGCAGCGCCCACCTGTGACGTGCTCCCAGGCCATGTTAGTGTACAGCACCTCCCAGCCCGGCTTGCTGGTGTCCACAAACATGATGCACTTTTCAAAGTGGTCCAGCGCACGCATCATCTCCTGCTGCAGTTGCTCCGTGGCCTCCTCGTTCTGAGCACGCTCCTGCGCCAGCGCCATGTCCCTCTCCAGCTGCCGAATGACCAGCGTCTGCAGGTTGTTGACCACCAGCAAGTTGGTGGGCTCCAGGGTACGCTCCTTAAAGTCCGCCATGCAGCTGCAAGGGGGTGGACGCGTAGGTGAGAGTGCGAGTCATGAACATCCACAAGCGGATGGGGTCCATGTGTAAAAAGTAAAGGATCTTAAATGCCGCACAGGTGTGTGGGCGAAGCATATGGGCGAATGGGGGATAGGGGTATGAATGCAGATAGGGATCTAAGGGCGGGAGGCCGCAGACCTCAGAAAAGTTTATGTGGGAGGAAACCAGCATACACTTCGCAAAATAGGAAGAAAAACCCGCACAAAAAGAAAACCAGACGACTTGCAGCAATGGCATATGTAATTGTAATCCAAGTTACGAAGACAGGAATGCGCATCTTTGTGCGTGTGGCTTAGGAGCATCCCCTATTTAGGCGAACAACACCTCCATCCAAGTATTCAAGCCTGCGCCCATCCGCCCAGTCCCACCCAGTCCCACCCGCCTTGTCCTTTCCTCAACCCAACTCGCGTGTCACTTCCTTTAAGACACCAAGGTACTCACAGCGTCCCAAGCACCTCCCCGGTGGAGCTTCGCAGCGGTGAGGCCATGAAGAACTTCACCTTGGGCTCTTGCTTGACGCAGTAGTACTCGCGAAAGCTGGGAAAAAAGAAGTAAATGCGAACACGGTAAACGGGAAAGGGCGTCAGATGGCGAGGCGGGACAGCGGAGACGGAGAAAGGGTGGGGTGGGGAAAAGAGACACAAGACAGAAAAAATGTGGGTGGCTTGTTAAAACCTTTCTTGGATTTTATCATTGTAACGCTGCGTCAGGCGGTCCCTCCGGTGAACGTCAGTGAAAAGCATGCAATACCATATCACACAGGAAGCAGCACACATGTGCTGGCTGTACGCCCACAGAACGTTTCATTAGCTGAGGAAAGTGATGGGGACGGACAAGGAGAATTGCCTGCCGCCATAAGCCGGCCAGTGGTCTAAATGGAAACTCCGAAGCGCAGTGCAGCTGGCAGGAGCTGGAAGTTAAGATATGGCGTCGTCATGCAGCCGCAAGAGACAGCGAAAATTAGGTGTTAAGAGAGACTACAACAGTAACCAAATATGACAACCGTATGTATATACCATTCGCAAGAGAGAAGCGCTAGGGGATGCAAGTATGCAGACAGGTCGAGTCCTTACCGGTCGTCCAGTCCCGCGTCGGGCACGATTAGCACGTCCCTGAGTTCGTAGGCGTTGAGCATGGACCACTGCGCGAGGCTGTAGCGCCACTGGTCGTCATCAGTCAGCCGCAGCGCAGTGCTGCGGATAAAGATGTTGGCGGAACTGCAGCAGCAGTACATTCATTTATCCAAAAGCAAGGGGCGACACAGAGGAACAGTTTCGTTTAGCAGCCCGCGCGAGTACATCGGTGAACATGCGGGCATATGTGTCTGTTGCAGCTGGCTGCCGTCCGGGCCCTTGACTTCAAGAGATCCTGTATTTAGTGTACGGGCGACACACACCCTTCTAGCACCACTACGTAACCCACTTCATACAACCAACACTGGCCAAGGAGGTTGGCCCTGCCATCCTAGGACCCTACCACACCTGTTTATTAGCACACCCCTGGAGGCAGAGGGTTCAGCAATCGCCACCAATTAAACGTACGAATGCGTATTCATGTGCATTAACGAACTGAGTCGTATGAGCGTGCGTGGATGGCGCATGTGATTGCGTGCGTTGCCGGCTCGGAGAGGATAGATTAGACACACGGACGGTAACTTGATAGGGTAGGAAAGCGCGGACTCAGCAGGATATGATGTGAAGAAGGGTTAATGACTGGATACGGACTTATAGGCGAGGACGGAGGACAACGAAACAGTATGGTCAAGTGAAAACATTAACATTTTTAACCGCTTTAACCCTCCATTCGCCATTACCCCGCCTAGCCCAGTGTTGTGCCCGGGTACATTCGATACATTTTACTACCCCGCCAAAAGCCCCCCACCTCGACGCCTGCACATCGGCGGATTCGCAGAATTCAAACCCTCTGCTACTCTCACTTCCGCATTCAGATTCACCAGCACAACCCTACCCATACAAGAACCCGCAGAGACCTACCAACCGCCCCACCTCCCTTGCCTGTGCCCCGCGCAAGTCTGCCTAATGTCCTTTATCGCCCAAACTGCAACCCCCTCCTCGCACCGGACTCTTTGGAAACCCGGCACCGCCCCCACCGCCCGGAAGCCCGTACCGGTAGGCTGCCACCAGCGCCACAGGTAGCTGGAAGATGTTGCAAATGAGCATGAGCACGTTCTCTACGTCACTGCCCTCCGGTGGCGACATGATGCTCAGGTGCTCGCTGCTGCTGCGCGGGGAGCCATCGCCGTCGCTGCGCGCCCCTTCCTCGTCCTCGCCGTCCTCCTCTCCCTCCGGAACAGCTTCCGGCATCCCGCTATTGCACGGCCCAACCATCGACTCGGCTCCAGGTGCGGACGCCTCCGCGGAGGCTCCTCCGCCGGTGTTATTGGAGCTGCTGGCTGCATTGGAACCACTTGGGTCGGTCCGAGCGCGGCTGTTGGGCCGCACCGCGGTCGCGGCCGGGGCATCAGGCTTGCTGCCGCGTGTGGGCCTGCTGATGCGGCGCCCAACACTGGAATAGTCCATGGTGCCGCCGGTGCTGCTGCCAGCAGTGTACAGGCCACCGCCGGGCTGTGCGCCCAAGGTAGGTGAGCCTGCGCCTGCTGTGCCGATGGTGGGCGTGGAAGAGGCCATCATATCCAAGGAGCCAAGGCTCGGGTCGGCGGCGCTGCTGCCCACCATAGTGCCGGCCTGGCCACTACTGCCGGTTGCACGTATGCCGCTGCCAGTGCCACCACCGGCGAGAGCGTCGCTTCCGCTGGCCTTGCTGCCGCTGATGACCTCGCTGCCACCGGGGGCCGGCTGCGCGCCTGAGGCATTGGATCCGGAGCTCTGAGACTTGCTGCGCTTGACGTCTGCGGGGTGAAGCGGGGTACATAAACGAAGGTCGCAGTTGCGCGATGCTGAGAAGAACACGAAACATGCGTACATGGAAGGCTTAAGCATACGGCAGAGACCAACAGCGACAACATGGCTACGCTAGAATAGCGACTGGTTTTGTAAAATCCAGCCGTGACAGAGCGGACAGTGTACAAAGGCAAGGATGCCTGACCTTACAGCAAGTTCACCCATCCACCCACCCATCCGATGGCCCTTTCTTCCAAGTTTCCCCGCGCGTCACCCACGAACCCAGCCACTCAAGAGCTCGCTCACCCTTCCTTCGCTCCTTCTTATGCTCCTTCAACCTCGGCGCCCCGAACATGAAGCCTGTATTACCGCCCTTACTGGCCGGGGTGCTGCCTGTCGCCGACGGTTCCGACATGGCGTTGTTGGAGCCTTGGGGCCGAGTTGATAAAGGGACGCGGGAATGGGGAGGAAAACAAAGGACTTGAAAATTTATAGGGCAATGCGCTTGGAACATAACGGGAACCAAATGTGCTGGGGTGGCATAATGTGGCAATACGGTGATATAGACTTACATAGGAAAAGGACATGAAGTGCGTCACCCAATCTGCTGGAAATGGATGCGCCGTTAAGACACCGTGGACAGCAGACGCATCTACATGAAAGATGCATACACGGCGCACAGCCGCATTCACATCAAAACTCTAACACATACAGCTACGTGGCCTCCCCCAAACATGCCCGGATTCCGAAGTCCGACACCAGCGCAGTCTTTTCCGATTAGCGCCCGAACCCCGATCGGTCGCACTTTGGCCTGGCCAACACTAGGAATGGAACTGCCGGAACGTCTGCAACTTGGGGTAAAAAGCGGAGCCTGCAGACGGAACAGCACCGTTACCGACATAGGAAACCTGAGCCGTGGGGCCGTCCGTGACAGGGGGAATCGCCCGATTGCCTGGAGACAAAAGGTTTCAGGGGATTTCATGGCCCCCGGGGAGCCCTGCTCGCACCTTCTATAGCCTCGCTGCCGGCGCGGCTGGCGCCGGCACCTGTTGGAGCCGCCGTCTCACCTGCCGTGGACGGCGCCTGCGCAGCCGAGGAACCCATCATAACCGAGGAAACGTCCTGGGGAAGGTTGGTGGCCTGCTGCGTATATGAGCCCGGCTGCTGAGAAGACGCGGTGCTGTGGCTGTGGGACACGGAGGACGACGTATCCCCTACGGTGCCGCAACCGGCTCCAGCCTGATGCGGGCGCCGCGTGGTCTTAACCTTGATCGCTATCGGCTCCTCAGCAGCGGCAGTGTCGCCGGTGGAAGGGGTGCGCGCAACGCTCCCGCCAGCCTCGGTCAGGCGGTGGCCCTGTAGCGCTACCTTGTCAGCTGCGTGCTTAAGTTGCGCCGCTGTGGCGCTGAGGCCTCTCATCTCCAGCATGGCCGAAGAGTTGCGGGGGGAGGCCTCGGCGGCCTGGACCAAATCAGTGGGAACCTGGGGTCTGGGCAACGGTAGCGACATCTCCATGGGAGCTGTTAACTGAGTCTGGTTGTGGGGTCGCGGCTCGTTTGAGGGCTGGGGTTCGGGTAGAAGCTTCGGTTGAGGTTGGAGCTGGATTTCGACTTCGGACAGGTGCGCTGCTACATCTGTTTTGGGAGGCGACCCAGATGCAGCGATCGTGGTTGAAGGCGTGGAGCCTGTTGCCGCATATATAGGCGCAACGGCGGGAGCGACAGGTGCAGTGTTTATCGCCTGGTCCACGCGGATAGCTGAAGTTTGCTGAGCTTCGATGACATCTCCGGGGGGAGCAGGCTGAGCTCCCTCGGGAACGGCAACTTGGGCTAAGTCCACTGCACTGGCAGCGGCGACAGGTGCCTGTGCTGGTGCTGGCGCGGTGACGGCTTCTTTTGAAGCAGTATGGGACACTTGCTGCTGCGGTAGATCCTGTGGCAATACAGAAGCTTTCACAGTAGCCATGCCAGGAGCCGGGGCGGGCGCCTGCGGTCAGGTCAACAGCAAGGACAGGCCGGTTATTTGCATCTTACTGTATACAAAAATTAAGTCCAAATGGTGAGCACAAAAAGAAGGAAAAGGGTCGGGCATGGTCACCACAACGCCGAGAACGCACCGATGCGGCCTGGTCCGGACTTGGAAGACTTCCAGCAGCCTGTTCCTCTTTAACAATACCATCTTTGCAACAGACTCCTCCCATACTGCCTGAACTCCTCGGTATGACGTTGACAAAGGTCCGTGCAAAAGGTTCAAGTGTCAACGGCCGTCAAGGTTAAATGATCCATGAGATAGTTGCTTGCTGACAGAAATACTGAACCTGGAAATCATGCTATAACTTTAGTGTTTGCTCCGGAGGGATGAAAAGATGTTTCCCCGTACGTCGCGCCTGCACGGACTTTGGGCTGCTGCATAACGCAGAATTAATTAATAGACATAAAGACCTTAAAGTTCTGGAATATCAGACGTCTCAATCAGAGGTGGTCAATAACTTTTTGTACCGCCGAAACCCCCGGTGCTTCACGTTAGTGTTGGCCGGCCTCCCGCTTCTATCATGCGGGAGCGCAATGATAACCAAGAAGCTTTGGAACCGCGTCATCATGAAACCCCGTTGATTGGGCTAAAAAAGCCATCTGCCTTTTCCAACCTCCCGAAGCTTCTTGCTGTTGTGCGACCCCACACCTCCGTACACAACGTTCCATAGTTTCCTCTTCCGTCAACTCATTACATTACAAGGCGCATTCCTCTGACGATATCTATCCTAACGTACGAGCAGGCCTCGCAATATCGCAACTCCACTGCTTCTCCTGTTCCATCCGAACCAGTGCGAAACTCACCTGCACGGCGCCGCTTTGCACACGACTTCGCACGGCTCGGGAATGACTTACGTCCAAGCCAAAAGATACCCCGAATCGTCAAGCGCTTCATGCATACCCTTAGTAAATGCTAACGTTGTTTACATTTATACCCTGAGCCCATCTGAAAATAGCTCCCGTGTCCATGCGCCCTCCGGCGTGCCTCCCGCGCATCCCTTATGGCTACGTAATTACAATGGTTACAAGTAATGGCCGTACGGCTAATGAGACCAGCAAGCTTGTCAACTGCTTGCCTACCTGCCTATGTGACTGTATGCCTGTCGGATGTTTGCAGGCATGACACTGAGCATCGTGGCTACCCCCTACAATTACCTTGGGTTAAAGTAGTGCTACTGCTAATACGGCTGCTGGTGGTGGTGGTGGTGGTGCTGCTGCTGCTCATGATGATGATGGGTTACACGGCGGCAGATATTGGCACAACCAGGCGGTTGCGATATGGTGGGCAGCGCGCTGTAGCCGTTGCCTAGCCTGGCCTGGCCGTTGCAGCCTGGCCGGTCATATAAGTCCCCTTTCCCTCCCTCCCCGCTTCCTCTCTCGCCCTCCCCCCTTACCTTTCCAACCCCGCTTTAAGGTTCACTGTGCACAAAATTGCCATGTGGGTCACATCCAGGAGGGCGCCATCGTGTAGGTGGAGATGGTGGTTTTTGCACTGTTCGGCAGCCCCGCTTCAAGGGAGCGGTTGTGCTGTCGTGTGGGAGGTAAGGAGTGATACATGCTTTTCTGTCTACCCTCGCTACGATTACTGCCATAGATGCCTGAAATTTCGCGATGTGTTTTCGTACGGTATTAAAGAAAGGAGGGGTACGGTATTGGAGCGGGGGAAGAGGGGAAACGGAGCGGGACAGCAGCGTGCGGTGTGTGATTCCGTCATTTCGAGGAATTTGTACAGCAACAACCGAATCCACATACTGTACATAACATACACAGGTTAGGCAGTACTGGTAAGGCACGGACCATTGCCCCCAGGAGATCCCGGGATCGAGACCTGTCAGGAACGAAGATGCTTCCGCTGGGGGAACGATATACGGCCCATGTCTATAATCGGTAGTGACCTGGGATAAAGTCGACCCGCGAGCCGAGCAGGTATGGAGTTGGGTCGTCGCTGGTCCGGCAGATACCGTTGGATGCCGGTGGTAGGTGCAGAATTTAAGCGATCCACTGAGGAGTTGACTAGGGTGGCTAGATGAGGGTGCCCCGAAATTCCGGGGGAGGCAGGGTTTCGCAGGGTAGCTGCCACGGGTGAAGATTCACCCCCCACATATCATACTGTACCTCTGTGCGCGACCGATAAGGTCAGCCAGGACGCGAAAAGGTGCCGTTTCAAGACGTCGCGAATCGATTGGGGGTTTCCGCAGCCACAGTCCGGCGACGACGTTAGTCCCCTTCAGTCACCGCCCTCTTTCCAATATCCGTACCTCCCTAACCGCCACCCACTCTTCCACCTATACATTTATATACATTTACGTCAGCCCGCTTTATAAACCAAAACACACCACACTTGCACGCGACATGGCTTAGGGCCCAACATAGTTCGGGGAAGGCGATGTTCTCTCGCTATCAATGACCTTACTCATCAGTATGTCGTAGCCACCAGCCCAACACAGAGCCCGTCACGGCCACCGTCAGCACTTCCACGATCATCAACCCCAAGGCCATCATCACCACTACCCACCATCCGTACTATTATCCCCCTACACACTTCCGCCCGCAAGCCTCGACACTGGAAGAGGCGCTACGGGGGATTCAGGGACTCGCTGCACATATAGAAACTCTGGGGAAGAACTCTCCAAAAACCAGAAACATGATCACAAATAAAGCAAAGATGGTGGATGCATCACGCCCCGACAACATTGGGCGCGACGAACACCACCAGTCTTCGTTCATGACTAGTCGATAGCTGTACGCGTCCGTACGTCGGGTAGGAAATTTGCGGGCGTAATGATACCTCAAAATGAGCATATCGTTCCTGCAGGGAACGCGAGCCAAAATCCTGACTGGACGCCTGTGTGTGCAAAGGCGCACACACAGACAGACGCACATTTGGGAGGTGGGGAGAGCGGACAAAGGGGAAATGTATGTGTGTGCGTGTGTGGGGGGGAGAAGCAAGGATAGGTCCAGAGCCCAAAAAACCGCGGTGCGGGTGGTTGACCGGACTGTGTGTGGAAGTGCCTGCGTCAAGGTTTAAAACGGTGCTTACGAGGGAAGGCCGAGTGGCAATGTGCGTAGTGGCATGCAGCAACTTTCTTCCTTTTATAGCTCACGACTCTGTGGGTGCATTTGGGGAGTTCTTGTTGTTCACAGGCTGCGTTGGTCACTGGCTAGAAAAGAAAGGGAAGGGATAAGCAGGCGGGCAGGGGTAACCCCGCCGCTTTTCTGGCGCCAACTAATTCCCTGGCCTAGGAATCCCGATGCAGTCGCAGTGTCGCCAACCACCCAACCACCCTTCCGGAACCATCAACTACCGCGGTGGTGTTGCAGTCTCTAACGACTAATCCACCAACAAGTAACGAAACCCCCTAACCTACAGCTTAGCTGCCGCTACCACCGTGCTGCCATCAGCAGCAGCAGCAGCAGGCCTCGCCCCGAAAACAACAACAACAGCCGACACGAGCAACAAGGGCTGCCTTTTTTCTGGTCGCAATTCCCCCTCTTCCACATACGGGGGGAGCTCCGGAAACAAAATCGCTAGCTGGCTGGTCGACCTTATCATTTCGCTGCTCTACCATCGCACTACTGCTGTAGAGAAACGCAGCGGCACCATACGCACACACATGTCGCACAGGGCGCCAGGCGGCCCCAACAAACGAGAATCATCTCCGCGAGAATTATCTTCCTCTTTGCCTTCGCGCATTTTCCGTACTGCTGCAGCTTGGGCCATATGACCGCATAACATTAATTTGTTGGCGCTATGACGACAGTATTTATTAATATATCAAAAACATCAGCTAAGGACGCCCAGCTGCAAAGCACACAAATGCTTTGTCAGCCCCAGCGAGCGGCTTTGGCAGTAAAGAACACGCATAACGGGATCCTACAAAACAAGCGCACGCTACACTGCGGTCTGTGAAAACAAAATGTGCGTGCGGGCAGCCCATGTGCGTGCGGGCAGCACAGTAAGCAGCAGCCAAGACGACGTTCGCGTGCTTCCAAAAAACCTCGCGCAAAGGTGTCCTGCGTTCCACATAGTTGCTCGCGAGGGATATGAATGTGCTGAAGCCGCCCGACATAAAAAAAACGCCCTGCACCTGCATAAGACCAAATCACGAAAGCGCAATGATTACCGCCAATATTATACTGTATATCTTCAACAGCAGCAAAGCACTGAAGGGGCATTGCATGGCACAAAACTACCGCACAGAGTATTCCGCCCGGTACAATACATATACATAGTACTGTAATAAAACTGTAACGACCCCAAATCACCTTGGGACGTGTTCCTCTCCGCGCCGCTCTTCGTCATTCTCTTCGCTTCGTCATTCAAATTAATACTTCTCCTTAAAGGATTCCTCAAAAACTGCCGTGGGTCACGAAACATTAACGACTCAAAAACATTTTTCCGACCAACGACAACTGACAAACGCGCGGCCCCGAAAGCACTTGGCAGCCGCGAAACGATGGATGGTAGGAAAGGAAAGAGGTCGCTGAAAGTGAAGGAAGAGGCACCCACCTGCCGCTGCAAAATGCTTTCTTTCCTTTCCACCTTTCCTAGCATGGCGCTTTGCATTGCCCAGCCGACCCGCCCCCTCTTCTTTCCCAACGCGTCATCCCGCCGCCGACTCTCCCGCCACCATTATATTTCATTCTTCTCTTTCTTCCCATCTCTTCACGGATCCTGACTTCAGGCCAGCGGCAGAAGCCGGGCGACAAAGAAATAACTCCCGCCAGGCGAGCACTCGGGAACAGCTGCCCGTCCGTCCCTTCCGTACTGCAATACACGTGAGACACGTGCTACCATTTTTCCCGACACTCCACTCACTCCCCACCTTCCACCCCACATACATACACACATACATAAATACATATACACATGACCCAAACGGCCACGAAGCGCAATTTCTACGACCAGAACCTTCGGCGTGAGCCACACAGTAATACACACATACAAACACACGCACATACGCAACTGCACACACACCTGGCCCCTCACGCTCCTTCCTTTTCGCTCAGCAGCGTCAAAAGCAATGCCCACACCCCTCCCCCCTCTCCCTCCGCCGCCTCACCACGGCGGCGGAGCAATCAGGGGATGACACCACATTCGCAAACACGCACACACACTCACGCACGCACGTAAACACATAAGACATTTTTGAATCTTAACCACCTCCCTCTCTTCCTCCCAATCGTCGTCGTCATCGTCCGACTAGCAAAGTGATAGAAATTAATCCCCATTCCCCAGGGATAACGCGTCAAGGGGAGCACGCTGGGTTTACGGATACCGCCTCCCCCCCCCGCCGCCCAAAACACACACATACGGATTGCGGCACGGACTAATAATACCCGCCCATGCAGTAGATGCGTACATACGTACAGACAAACATCTACTATAACGTCATGTGTATACAAATAAACTCAAATGAAAATGCAACTCGTGTATCACGAACGCATTCCGCCCACCTCCCTTGCTCCCCCGCCCACCTCCGCCCCTACTTCACCTCCACCTTCATGTCAGCATTCGGATGCAAACCCCCTACCAACCCCCCATCCACCTCGCAGCTCGCCCATTCTTCAAAAGCCATGTGCATGATATGTGGTGTCCCGGATGACAAACAATATCCTTCTCCTCGTCCACCTGCTCGTCCACCTGCTCGTCCACCTGCTCGTCCACCTGCTCACCTCCTATGACGCGCCTCATCCTGGAACCCCTATGCGCCTCCCGCTCGTCCTCCTTGAAAACCGAGCCGTACATTCACATCTTTTCGACTATTATTCCCCAACCCAGCCACCCAGCCACGCATCCATCCGACCCGCCGAGCCTACCCTCCGATGTCGACAATCGCAAGCAACCGATGACGACTACGTATTGTGGAAAGGCAACATACATATATATACATACATACATACATACATACATACATACATACATACATACATACATACATACATATATACATATATATGCATACATACATACATACTGTCGACCCGGCAGATTCCGTTGGACGCTGGTGGTGGGTGTGGAACCTGGGCGATCCACTGAGAAGTTGACTAGGGTGACTAGATGAGGGTGCCCCGAAATACCGGGGAAGGCAGGGTTTCGCAGGGTAGCTGCCACGGGCGAAGATACACCCCCCTGTTCCATACATCATACATACATACATACTATTATTACCACAACGACGACAAGACATCTCGATGGGTTAGTTTTCGTACCGTGGCGCACCGTGTGTACTGCAATACCGTACAATGTAATGGGGCGTAATGAAATGCAGTATAATGTATTCAGCGGCTTGGCCGTGCCCCTTGTGTCGTACCGTACGGGGGAAAAGACCACTTGGTGGTGTTATGGTGTTGTGGGAGTGGGGGTGTGCAAGCATTTGAAAACACACCAAGTGCCAACAATGACTAAAACCTATCAAAGCGATACATACATACATACATACATACATACATACATACATAATGGTGATAATGCTAACCGTGGGATCATAAACAAGTATACAATGTACAATGTAGTAATGAAACCACCACCATCATCATCATCATACACACATAATCTTCGTCACTAAGCACAGTAACCATGCCGTACAAATGAGCGCTATGTGCTGGTTGTGTAAATGGCGCAGTCTGACTCGTCACGCTGTCGGTGGTCGGTCGGTCGGTCGACAGTTACGGCACCGTCCAAGAGACGACTTCACGGCTGTACGGCATCTGAATGTACGGCAGTGAGGCATCGTGTGACGATTGATGCGTCGCGTCGTGTTGGATATGTGCTGCTGCGGCTGCACCTGTCTGCCGCCGCAGTTGGTGCCAGCAGCGGTTATTGGCAGTTAGGCCGTTTTCCAAAAACTGATGTTGTACAGGTCTGTCGTACAGGTCTATACACGTCTACAAGTACACCCCTAGAACCCTGTGCAGCTGCTCTCCCTTCTCCTCGGACACATCCGAAGCCCAGAGGTAGGTGGCCATGATGCCTAATTAGGCGCGGGACCGGAGGGGGGGGGAAAAGCCACGAAGAAGGGGGAAACGTACGGATGGATCGAGTGGGGCGAGGAACGGAGGTACGAAAAAACAACACAACGCAGGGAAAGAGCTGACTTCGGAGAGGGGTTACGATGCACCATGTACGACAAAGGGAATGTGAGTGGACAATGTCGTACAGTTTGACCACAGCGCAACCGCCCCAAGGCCCTTCCTTTCCCACGTCCCCTTCTCTCTCGGGCTCCTCCCCCTCTTCACGCCACACACACACACAAAACATACATACACACAAAACATACACACACACTCCTCTTACCCTTCCCCTTGACCTGCACCCCCCCCGTGGGCTCCCATCGCTCATTGGGCAGTAGCGCATGTGTGTCCGCCGACACGTGGATGCGACCTGGCCGCGAGGTGGACTCCATACGACTAGCGGTGTTGACTGGGTGGGAGGGGGGAAAGTGGAGGGGGAGTGGGAGTGGGAGTAGGAGTGGGAGTGGGAGTGGGAGTGGGAGTGGGAGTGGGAGTGGGAGTGGGAGGGGGAGGGGGAGGGGGAGGGGGAGGGGGAGGGGGAAGCGCATGTGTGTATGCGTGTGTGTGTATTATGTGTGTGCACGTGTTTCGACGTGGGGTGGTAAGAAAGAGAGAAGGGGGAGACGATAAGTGTGACCAGACTTGGGAGGCCATCGAGGTGACATACACGACCGTGCTGTTGCTGGTCTAGCTCCCCCACCCTTCTCTCCTACCCTCCCGTATACCCTCCCGTACACTCGGCCGTACACTCGCCCGCACCTGTGTCCCCAAACAAACAGAATCGCGGCATTCGGGAGCCCACCACTCCGCTCATGACGGGACCGCTGTGGATGCCCACCTGCGAAACAGACAAACGGACAGACACACGGACAGACAGACGGACAGACAGACAGACAGACGCACACTTATTTGCACCGATGGGGGCCGGGTCGTCCAGGGAGGTCGATGACCGGACCGGAACTGGTCAACAACCCCCAATATCACTCCATCCAATCCAAACGAATCGCAGTACGGGCAATTAAAGCGCCGTACAGGAAAGAGACAGGGAAGTACGAGGGCGTGTGTGGACCCCGCTTCCCCCTTTAAACCCCCGAGACGCCAGCCGGAATTCCCCAAAGGAGGCGCCCTACGACCAGACAGCTGTAGATACCCTTTCCTGCCCCCCCCCATCCCACAGGACACGCAACCCCCCCAACCCCAATCGGAAAACACGTCGCAGTCCCCCCCCCCTCCAAACCCGCACACGCACCCTCATCAGAACGGGGCCCCCAGT